CCACTGCGTAGCTGTTCCAGCGCGTGGGCCGCGCCCAGCCCGCGCAGCCCGTACCTCTCACAGATCGGGCCCGTGCCCAGCCCGCGTGTGGCCCGCGAGCAGCCTAAGTCTCTGCCAGCCCATTCCTCGGCCCAACAGCAAGGTTGTGCGGCCCAAAGGTAATTATTCGCGGCCCAGGCGTGATTTTGGCCTCATTTGCAGCCCAGGTGGTGCTGTAATGCACCTAGCTCGAGCTCATTTGGTCCGAGCAGCCCCATTTCGAGCCCAATGCTTTTTTGGGACGATTACGTATGGGAGGTAATTGGATTTAATGTTCTCATAAGAAAGGTATGAGATTAATTAAAATTATGGGCCAAAAATATTATTGATCGTGGAGGCATTTAATTCGTTCTTGGAGAATTCATGGATAATTATATGATTTATGCATGGGGGATTATTTGATTTGCTCAATCGATTATTTGATTCCTGGGTGGAATTATATGAATTATTCGAGGAGACTATTTGATATATTCGTGAGGATTATTTGACTAATTTGTGGAACATTATTTGATTTGATCGAGGATACAAATTTTAATTAATTCATGAGGATTATACAACTTTTCCGTGGAAATTATTTGTCATATTGGAGGCAATTATTTGATCTATTCGAGGTGATATTTGATTGTTTGAGGAGATAATACTTGATTTGATCGTGAAAATACTTGATTTATTCATGGAGGATCATTTGATTTGCTCGTGTTGGATTATATGTTTTATTCGTAAATTCTATGGTTATATCCGATTTGCTCGAGGAGGGGTGTTATTTGATCTATTTGTGGAGCATATTTGGTTTGTTCAAGGAGATATTGTTTTGCTCAATGAGATATTACTTGGAGTATTCGTGGATAATTATGTGATTTATTCGAGATTATTTGATTATTTGGTTTTGCTCGAGGAGAACTATTTGCTTTGCTCGTGTTGGATTACATGATCTATTCAAGGATTTACTTGATTCGTTCGCGGAGATGTGTGATTTTTTCGCGGATATATGCGGTTTATACGTGAAAATTATGAGACTTATTCGAGGAGATTGGTTTATTCATGAATATCATTTGATTTCGCTTTGTTCGTGAGGATATTTGATTTATTCATGAATATCTTTGATTTGATCGTGGAATTAATTGACTTGCTCGTGGAAGTATTGTCTGACTTATTTGTGGATATATTTGATTTGCTCGGGGGATTATGGGATTATTTGTGGATGTATTTGATTTATTCGAGGAGGTGCTATTTGATTTATTTGTGGAGATATTTGATTTATTCGAGGAGGTGCTATTGGATTTATTTGGGGATGATTATTTGAGGAATATATTTCATTTGTGCATGGATGATTATTTGATTTGCTCGAATGATTATCGGATTTGTTTGTGGATAATTATGTAATTGGCTCGAGCGATTATGCGATTTATTCATGGACATATTTGAATTTATGTCGAGGAAAT